TGGCATCAATGACAATAATAAGAAAATATAGACAAGACAATAACTAAACCGGCTGAATTTTCAGCCCATATCAAGTCCCTTTTGGGACTATATTGCCGATTTGTTGCTTCATCAATTTTGGGTTTTCAACCCAATTTCTGCTTCTTGCTTAGCGGCTGCTGGTGTTACTATGTAAATTGGACTTGTTAAAGTCCAATAATACTCAATTTTAATCCCTTTGGGGACTGCTGCTACTGCTTCGGACAAATTGGGCTCTTTTAAGTCCAAATTTGCCAATTTTCAGCTTTTGGGAGTGTTGTAACTCTGCTATTGAGCTGCTGCCAGTGGTTTGGGTTTTAACCCATTAATATTAGCTTCCCTTTCACGTCTCGAATGAGGTTGACTCAAAAGAGAGGAGTATGCAAGAAAGGGGAGTCCATTGGACTCAAATGGATGTCACATGTGCAAGGAAAGAAAGAAAAGAGATTAATGTTCTAATCAACATACAAAAATATTTAAGGAAAATGCTTCAAGAGCTCGTAGTGATTAAACCAACGTGAGAAATAAAAAAGAGACGAGGAGCGCAGAAACTGAAATTTAACATTTTGGAGGAAAAGGAAATCATGCAACATTTTTAACAATGGACAAAATCTAATACAAAATGACACAAAATAAAATAAAATAGTAACACTATCACATACATGGATGTGAACACACAGAAAGCTAATCTCTCTCTTAATCAAGGTTTAGAAGCACATTGGTATTTAGACATTAAAATAAACTTTATTACAATCAGCCACAAGTAACAAAGGGAAAACATTGAAATTTAAACAAGAAATAACACTTTTTCACTCTAAAAATATTTTGTCTAATCTAAAATATCCAGAGAACTAAAAAAAAAAGCTTACAATCTAATGAACACTTCTTTCTGTAAACTTTAAAGAACCTGAAAATAATAACATTCAACACAAGCTTTCTTCTCTAAATTATTATCCAAAAGCAGACGTCAAACTTAGGCACACATAGACCAAGATATTAAAGGAATACAACTAAAGCAAACTTGAAAGAAAACCTATGCATGTATCTATCAGTAGTGCACTTCCAACAAGACAAATAAATTTTAAAAAAAATAAACAACTTATGGCAAAAAACAGAGAACAAATTTTCACAACATGAAAAATGCGTAACTTTAGAGCCAACAAGCTCAAAATAGCATTTTCAGACCAAGCAACCCAATGTTAAAGAGCACAACTTATATTTCCAATTATATGCATTCAAACATGGTAGATGGAAGGGGTCTAAAGATTAGATTACGAACAAATCACATCTCTAATCTAAACTAACCAGTCCGAACTCATCAAGAACAACAACTAAAGCACACACTAAAGGAAATCATTTTAGCTATGGAAAGCGAAGCCGAAACTAAGAGATCGACTTAAGATCGACATAACTTATAAAATAAGAATCTAAAGACGAAGTTGTTCAACATTTAATCCCCAGAATCTCAAAGATTGGCATAGTAGTCATGTGCATATCAACATCTAGACAACTGACTATTCAAAAGAAGCTAAACATATGGGCTATCTCACATAAACAAGAAGATATGATGCTAGCGACCATCCCCTTTTCGACAATATGAATTTAATAACAAACAACATAAAACAGAGAACTGGACATATTTGAAACTTAAAGAGAAACATAGAAAAAAAATAACTTCAATGATTCAGCTGAACATTATCTGCAACAAATAAGCTGTTTTCATAACATTAAGATGCTGGAAAGCAAAAACCAAATTTCTAGCAAATACGACAAACTAATCTGATCCCGTCACACAACAAAAATAAAATATATATATTTAGAAGAAAAGAATTACCTTTCGCTGAGCAGGAACTGGGATGACGAGTGGTAAGCAACGAGCTTCCACCACCAAAGGAGCTTTTCCGGAAAGCTTGGATGAAAACTTCAAGGACAGGACCTTATGAAAAATTTAAACCTTAAAGCTTTGGACTATCTAAATTGATTTCTTTGTAAACCTTATATCTCTTTGTCTATCCCTCCAGAACCCCCTATTCAGTGAAATAACATGGGTATTTATAAGGAAAAACTAGGGCTCGGAATTTGGGAAAAGGGCCGAGAAGTTGGATAAGAACAAGGCCCACGAATTTGAAAATTCCCTCTCAAATTCTCTCCAAGGACGGAAGAATATACCGAATTGATCCTCATTTCAAACGGATTGGAATGAGGTGGAGGGTCTCAATCGATTGAGCGTCCTTGAGATGCTATGTGCCTCAATCTCATACCACAAGGGCGAAAATGCGTGCTGCTTTTACTGGAATCACGGCTGGAACAGTACTATCGGAGAGGGACGTTGAGGAACAAGACAAGAAAAGGCAGCGTACTGCCTGTTGTCGCTGCTTTCCGTCCGTCTCCATGAGATTTCCGTGTGCTGCTGTTTCCCTTCGTTGTTTGGAATAGTTGTTGAACTCTTTGTTGAACAAAAGAAATGGGTCGGGTTAAGTTTAAGGGGGATGGGCTGCTGGGTCACTGTATTGAAGTAATGGGCTGCTGTAATTAGAAAATTGGAATGTTGTTGAGGAAATAGAATTGGACCGGTTTAAAGGGAAATTGGATCGGTTGATGAATTTGGTGGGTATTGTATGCTATATTGATGGGTCTGGGTATTTGTTAGGAATTATTGTATTAGGCTGAAACGGAGGATTGGATTTGGCCCAAAAATCAATCTTTAGGATGAGGTAAAGAAATGACAAAATTGTAGTTAAGCCATAACCCAATGAGTTTAATTGGTGAGTCCGATTGAATAAGACGAATTAATATTAATTAATTAACGAGCTTCTTAATTTTAACGAAATAAAAATGATTAACTTGATTGTAAACTAATGATTCAAAATTATAACCATAATTTAAACTAAACTAATTTAACAAAATACTTACTAAAATTAAAATCTTTTGAGATGATTTTCAAATGTTTATAAAGTATTCTTAATTATATACGCAATTATATAAAATCTATTTACTACTTAAAATGCTATAAAAATGGCTAAAATAACTTTTTTTTAAATTTGATTTTTTTAATAAATTAATCATTTCAAATCGTTTGAAATTAAAGAAACTCAAAAGTTAATTCCTATCATGGAGGGTTAAAATTGGATGTCAACAATGAAGATAGGTTTTTAAAACGTACTATAATATCATCAATTTTGAGTACTTATAAGCACATATATTCAAAAAAATATTGATATACAAATCACTCATGAATTCTAACTTACATCAATTAAGCATAAATTGTATAATGAATCAATAATATTAAAGGTCAATTAACCATTACAATAATATTAATTGTGTGTTTTGAAATTCATGCTTACAATATATTTTTTTTGAAAAAATAAAAAGTGAATAATATTATATTTTTATCCAAAAATAATAATACTAAATATACCTAAAAAGCTTCTTCCATTCTAGTTGATATGTCATGTCATTAAATCATCCTTTAAAAAATAATAGACCTATTTAATTCATCAAACTTATGTCTCTACAAAACAAATATATAAATTACATGAGAATTTATGAAGATTATAAAAAAAAAATCTAATTCCTTTATATATTTTTACCAAACAAAATTCAATGAAAAAACCTCTGTGCGCAATTATTACCTGGTAATTTTAAAAATTTCTAAGTAAATTATTTGAACATTTTAAGCAAGTTTTTCATAAAAGTATTCAAATAAATTTGTAAGGTTGACAAAAAAAAGTTAGTAAGAAAGAGAAAATTATTATTTAACTTTTTTTAATTTATTTTTTATTTTTATTCTTTTATTCTATATTATATTATATTATATTTTAACTTCTCATACAATTAAACACCAATATATTTTCTTATCTCATCCTAAATTCATGAAATACAAGTAATAATTAATTGAATTGCCTATACATATTATATGAGATTAATATACTGATAAATAAAGATCAAAATTTTATTGTCTAATATAAATATTATTCACTTTCTATTTTTTATTTTTTTTTAAAAAGACATTGTAAGTATATATGGATTTCAAAGCACCTAATTAATGTTTTTTAATTGTTAATTAACCTTTAATATTATTGATCCATTATCTAATATATGATTAATTGATGTAAGTTGACATTCATAAGTGATTTATATATCAATATTTTTTCCATATATGTGTTTATAATTATTCAAAATTGATGACATTATGGTAAGTGTCAAAAAACTATTCTTCATAGCATAGAAAAATAAAAAAAATAATTATGATAAAAAATTCTTAAGAATGAAGATTTCTTCTTAATAAACTAATATATTTTTTTTTTAAAATAATAAGATCATTATATTAGTTAAATGGTTTAATGAATTAAATTAGCCTATTACTAAAAAAAAAAACTTTCATGACATGTCATGCCAATTAGGAAATAGTGGGGCTTTTGAAGTGTCAAGAAAATTAGTAAGAATTTAGTGATTTTTTGATTCTAAATGAATGATATTTCAAAGAAAATTTTCTAAACTTGGTCATGTTTCGTTTTTTTTCTAAACATTAATCACATAAGTGATAAGTGGACCCTTTGAACACATTATTTGAGGTCTTACTTTTATGTCTATTGCTTTGATCTCTATCTCCCATTTTCCACCTTGTATTTTCAATATATATCTCCATCTCCTATTTTCGAATATTTATTCCAATATACAGCCCCCTCTTATTTTCAATCAAAAGTAGTATTCTTGAAGATGGCTGATGCCGTTGTGTCATTTGCAGTTCAAAAATTGGGTGATTTCCTCATACAACAAGTTTCACTGCGAACAAATCTCAGAGATGAAATTGGATGGCTGAAAACTGAGCTACTCATCATACAGTCATTCCTCAAAGATGCAGAACAAAAGAAAAGTGGAGATCATAGAATTCAACAATGGGTGTTTGAGATCAACTCTATTGCTAATGACGCTGTTGCTATACTCGAGACTTACAGTTTCGAGGCTGGTAAAGGTGCTAGTCGTCTCAAGGCTTGCGCTTGCATATGTAGGAAGGAGAAGAAATTCTACAATGTCGCAGAGGAGATCCAATCACTCAAGCAGCGAATCATGGATATCTCTCGCAAACGAGAGACTTATGGTATTACAAATATCAATAGTAATGCTGGAGAAGGGTCAAGTAATCAGGTTACAACATTGAGGAGAACTACCTCATATATAGATGATGATGACATTTTTGTTGGCTTTCAGGATGTTGTACAAACATTGCTAGCTCAACTTCTCAAAGCAGAGCCTCGTAGAAGCGACATCTCCATTCATGGCATGGGCGGATTAGGCAAGACCACTCTTGCAAGAAACCTCTACAACAGCCCTAATATAGTCTCAAGCTTCCCTACACGTGCTTGGATATGTGTTTCTCAAGAGTACAACACAATGGATCTTCTTAAGGCTATCATAAAATCCATCCAAGGTTGCACCAAGGAAACTCTAGATTTGTTGGAAAAGATGGCAGAAACAGATCTAGAAAATCACCTTCGTGATCTATTGAAAGGACGCAAATACCTTGTGGTGGTTGATGATGTGTGGAAGAGAGAAGCATGGAAGGGTTTGAAAAGAGCATTCCCGGACAGCAAGAATGGCAGCAGAGTTATTATCACCACGCGCCAAGGGGATGTCGCTGAAAGAGCAGACGATAGAGGTTTTGTCCATAAACTTCGCTTCCTAAGCCAAGAAGAAAGTTGGGACCTCTTTTGTAGGAAACTAGTTGATGTTCGAGCAATGGTTCCAGCAATGGAAAGTCTAGCTAAGGATATGGTGGAAAAATGTAGAGGCTTACCTCTTGCAATTGTTGTATTGAGTGGACTACTTTCGCATAGATGGGGGCTAGACAAATGGCAAAACGTGAAAGACTGCCTTTGGAAGGACATTGAAGAAGACTCTATTGAAATCTCCTACATACTATCATTAAGCTTCAACGATTTGTCAGCTGCGCTCAAGAAGTGTTTTCTCTACTTTGGTGTTTTTCCAGAAGATCGAGTGATCGATGCTGACGACATAATGTGGTTGTGGATGGCAGAGGGTTTCATCATACCAAGAGGAGAAGAAAGAATGGAGGATGTCGCTGAAGGCTTCTTGAATGAGCTGATAAGACGAAGCTTGGTTCAAGTGGTGGATACATTTTGGGAAAAAGTTACTAAATGTAAGGTTCATGATTTACTTCGTGATCTTGCGATACAAAAGGCATTGGAGGTAAACTTCTTTGACATTTATGATCCAAGAAAGAACTTGAAATCCACTTCATGTATCAGACAAGCCATTCATAGTGAAGGAAAAAGGTACCTCTCATCACTTCATCGTTCTAACTCGAAGTTGAGGTCAATTATGTACTTTGATCCACATTATTTTAATGTGTTCCTACTTATAGATGTGTTCCGACATATATATGTGTTGTACTTGGATATTGATTATGGTGAAGTTATACCTGATGTCATAGGGAGTTTGAACAACCTCAAGTTGTTAAGCTTGAGAGGTGTCCGTAATATTCCCTCCTCCATCGGCAAACTCAAGAATTTACAGACACTTGTTGTTGTCAATATGGACAAATTCTTTTGCCATTTACCCCCCGAAACAGCTGACCTAATAAATTTAAGACATTTAGTTGTTCCATATTCTATACCTCTGGCAGGTATAAGCAAACTCACTAGTCTTCAAGTTCTTCGCCTTGATTGTGATCAGTGGAAAGATGTTGACCCAGTTGATTTAGTCAATCTTCGAGAATTAGAGATGACTAATATATACAATTCTTACTCCCTAAACAACATTAGCAGCTTGAAAAACCTTAACACGCTCATATTGTGTATTTTGCTTGGTCAACAATATACATATCCATTCCTATCCCTTGAATTTGTTAATAGTTGTGACAAGCTCCAGAAATTGTCGTTAGGTGGGAGATTAGAGAAACTGCCTGTGTTTCCAGATTCCATCACAATGATAGTTATTTGGCAGTCAAGACTGACAAAAGATCCGATGCCTATTTTGGGAATGTTGCCAAACCTAAGGAATCTCCAATTAGATGAAGCTTATGAAGGAGAAGAAATAATGTGCAGTGATTACAGCTTCAGTCAACTAGAGCTCCTTCATCTTAATTATCTTGACAACTTAGAAAGATGGCATTTAGGCACAAATGCCATGCCTCTCATTAAAGATCTTGGTATCAATCATTGTCCAAACCTGAAGGAGATTCCTGAGAGAATGAAAGACGTGAAGCATTTCAAACATAAATGAAGTCTTATATGATAATAGGAAAGGTAAATATACAAACACATCCCAATCCTTCATTTTTTTTTTCTTTTTTATATAAATAATAATATTTTTGTTAAACAGGAGTTGAAGCTGTCACTTGAATACATTCAACTTGATGAAGATGGGTTGTCCAAGCATCAATCAAGTTTCCGTCACTTTATGCAAAAATGAGGATTTTTTTGGTTTTTGGCTTCTTTTTTTTTTTAGTGTGTGGAATTGGTTGTAAGAGATTTTTCTTTTCTTTTTTTAGGGGGGGAGAGGGGGGAGGGGGATTGTATGCAAAAATGATTGTGATTATTTAATTAATATACATCTAGTATACAATAATATACGAAACTTTTATATTTCTTTTTTACAAAAATATGGGAAAATGCATAAGTACCCCCAGCCTATGCTCAAAATCCCTGAGACACACCTAACCTTTACTAAGGTCCTATTACCCCCCTGAACTTATTTTATATATAATTTTCTACCCCTTTTCGGCCTACGTGGCACTATCTTGTGGGTGTGTTGACAATTTTTTCAAGGATAGTGCCACGTAGGCAGTAAAGGGGTAGAATACTATATATAAAATAAGTTTGGGGGGGTAATAGAACCTTAGTAAATGTTAGGTGTGTCCCGGGGATTTGGGGCATAGGCTGGGGCGTACTTATGCATTTTCCCCAAAAATATTGTAAAACTTGATATACAATATTTATACACGATATTATACGAAATCATAGAGGTATTTATACATATATATAGAATCATATATATATAAGAGAACCCTAGGCCCGCCTACGTGGTGCTATCACAAACCAGGATTCCCTTTTAATTTATTTATTTACAAAACTAGCCTTCCCCTTTCATGAAAAGTTGTGACTTTTATGAAGAGTTGCGACTTTTATAAAAACCTGTGACTTTTATGAAAGGTTGTGCCCTTTCCGAAGGGTTGTAACTTTTCCAAAGAGATGTGACCTTTCCGATAAGCCACAATAAATATTTGTTCACACTACCCTTTGTTATCTATAAATAGAGGGATTTCCTCTCATTTTAAAACAACGAAAATTTTGAACGTCTTCTTCTTCTGCACAATTAAATATTGTTTTTGTATCAATACACTGGTGAATAGAATCGTTCTATCCTGAGAGGATCTATTCCTTTAAACCTCGGGTACTAGAGGGGAATTGTTTTCTTAAGGGGATACTATGCATTTAATGGACTCAATTTTTGCCAGTATGTTTCATTCTATTGTTACAGATCCTAGTATGTTTGTTTTAAACTTTGTTGTTTATGTTACTGCAAAGTTATTGTTAGTACAGATTAAATAACACACGTTAATTGAGTATTCACGCAAGTTTTCTATACTGAAATTGTAGTTTCAAATTGAACTTCATACTCTGGTGTGTTGATTTTTTTAAAAACACCCAAATAAACTGAATAGTTTTATGTAATATTTTCCCTTTCAAGTATATATAATAAGTTGAATTATTGTCCCATATGATACATTCTCCCTTTAATTTTTCATTTTAATAATTACTTATGATACATTTAAATGGGAAAATTAAAATGATAGATGTAAAGCAAACGGTAGGGCTGAACTTTCTACAAGTTAGAATTAGAATATTTATTCACTTTTTCAGTCATTTAAAATTTATTTATCCCTTCACCAACGATTATTTATTTATTAGAAAATTTAATATCTCCGGTTGATGTTCATTTGATTCCCCAAAAATATCAAATAGTAACACTTCTTGGAAGCAAAAGGATAAATTATAAAATCAAATTAAAGATGATTGATTGAAGGATAAGCGATAAGATGTTATAATTATCATCTTCCTTTATATTATTAATATTTGTTACTACGTAATCTTGTATATAAGATAATATAATGTTTTAATTTTAGTGACGGATATGTTTTAAGTATTATTTTATAAATCCCGTGATATTAAATTCTCGTGCGTGGCGCGGATGATTTAACTAGTAATGTATAATTTTATACCCTATTATACAAAACAAAATTTCGTCAAACGTTGCAACTTGATTTCTCTCTACAGCAAGATTCAATCTTCTAAAAATTTGTGGAGAAGTATAGTGATGGTCTATCATCCCCAATAGGTGAGACATCATGAATCACAATAGACATCTTTGCAATATAATGTACACACAAAAATATTTAATCTAAATAAGATGTAAATTTTATTTTTAAGAATGCATAACTAAAACTTGCAAAGAAAATATAAAAAAAAATAAGGTGGAGACAAACAACTTATTCTTAAAAATTAAGCAATGCATATTATTTTGAATATCAAATCAAAGAAGCAATAAAAATTTATCCGACATAACTAATTCCAGCATAACTTGTTTTCGAACCAACTGACAATGTATTTGGTATGAAGGAAAATATTTTCCAAATCAACTTGTTTTCCTCAAATTTAAGGAAAATGACTTACCTCCAAAAAATTAGGAAAACGTTTTTCATAACTCTTTTTCAACCTCACACCTCAACTTTTCACCCTAACTCAAGTCTCGAGTTATTCTCGATACAAATTCAGGATCTGACTCCAGATTCTTGATTCAGGACCCGACTCTTGACCTCGATTCGAGACCTGACTCAGGAGATGGATCTAAGCCAAATTCTGATTTTGGTGTCGAATCCCAAGTCAGGATTCGAGGTCGAATCTTGGATTGGATGTCGAGGCTTATTCCCGAGTTAGGTGTCGGTGTGGGGTTCCAAATTGAGTGTCAGAGTCAGGTTTTGAGTCAAGAGTCGAGACCTAGTCCCAGGTCAGTTGACGGATTTGAGTCTCGAATCAGTTGTCGTGGTAGGGTATTGTGGTTGAATTCCGATTTGAAAGTCAAGTCCTTGATAGGGAGTTGGGATCAAATCTCGATTTTGGAAGTTGGGTCAAGTGTCGGGGTCAGGTTTCACATTGAGTGTTGAGGTGAATCTTGGTTTGGATCTCGCGTTAGGTGTCGAGATCGAGACCCGAAACAATCATCGAGTTAAAGATCAGGGTCAAGGTCAATGTCAAGTCCTAGGTTGGGAGTCGAGGTCAAGTCCTGGATCAGTTATCAGAGTTGATTTTCAGATCAGAAACTATTTTCCTAAAATGTATTTCCTTATCTCTAGCCAAAATAAAAGTTTTTTTTTCTGAAAAATGTTTTTTATTCACCAACCAAACACTCGAAAAAAAAATTCACTCATCAATCAAACATGAGAAAATAAGTTAGAAAACAATTTCCTCCATACCAAACACACCCTTAAGTCTCAATCCTAAAAAATATTGAGGGTTGACAATCGGTTATATGAATCATCACTATCAATATTGTTCTATTATTAATTAAACAGTTGATGGTGAAAGATACACCTAAAGTATCCTAATTTATCGAGTCTCATATTCAAACTATCAATTGAGCACTCTAACTTACAAAATGATCCTCTAGGCACCTAATTCAAAACTTATGTGTCACGTCAACGCCAGGTGTTCATTAGACACAATGAGGACAAATTGAAGTGTTTAATTGTCAATTAAGACCAAATTGAGATGTCTAGATGTACACTCTCAAAGTTGAAGTGCTTATTTGATTAGA